TACTGTGAGTAATAGATGAGTACTTTCGTTGAGTGTTGACACATTCTGCCATCCCATTTTTCTCTGATTGGTGTCTTAGCTTTCCAATCAAATGTGACACAAAACCAGGCCATGAAATGGATTGCTTGGGGCAGAGATCCAGATCCTTGCCTAACGTCCATGCAACTTTACAATACTAATTTTCAAATATTAAAACTGAGCCAGTTTTAATATTCCTCTCTGATTTTAAAACTATAACAAGATTTTGTTGTTTTCAAATTGTTTAATTGCAGTCATTGCAATTTGCTGATTCTGGCCATAAAGATTTATTCTCTTTAATCTATCAGCTTTTAATCAATCAATCAACCATTTTTTGTAGAGCATTTTTCCTACACAAACTCACACATGTGCTTTATAGCCTCTTCACCTTTACAGCTGCGCTTTGTGTCTTTGTTTAAATGTAGTATTAATATTTTCACTGCTGACACTGGTTGCAAATGTGATTAATACAATTCGTCACCTTCAGCATTTTCTTAAAACAGATGAAGTGCAGGTCAGTACAGAAACATAGACCTGTGGACCAGGCTAAGCTCCTTGGCCACTCTGCTCCCCACTCACAAAGCTTCAGTCTGATTCTTTGAGTCTCATAGCCACGCACCAGAGGGATTGCTGATCCCCATTTCAGATAATGGTCCTCAATCTCTTATCATTTACAGCTGTCCACCAGTAAACAACAACACAAAACAAAACAAAAAATGATGAAAAAAAAATGAAAAGGATCGAAGCAAAGTTAACAGGATAAAGTCCCTTAGAGGCCTTAATCCTACTGCGCCATTGTTGGGGCTCCTTACAATGATAGCATCAAAATCATAACTGTTTACACTGCCTTATCCCGCTTCCACAAGTTTTCAATTTCAAGATTGATTTGTTTCAGTAGTGTTTATCTTTTTCGACAAAGACAGACAGAAAGTCTTGGTCTTTTTTCATTAAGCTTGTGATTGTTCTTTAAGAAAAAGTAGTTTCCTTAAAAAAACGAATGCCACTGATTTGTTATGTCAGATTATATTGAGCTAGTTAGGCAGATTAAAGGACGCAGTCCATTTAGTGTGTGCATGCCTAACTGAAAATGTATTTGTAACCCTTCCTAATTGGTTAAGTCATTTCATTATTATAAATATTAGGCAGGCGTGTATGTGTAATGGGGGACACTAATTCCTTTGACTAGACTAAAGATTCCCACCTTCAAATAAGCATGCTAATCTAATTAGAAAGCTAGCAGAGCTGAACGACTACATTTTCTCATACTTAGCATTGGAGGGCTATGGCTTTGTGGAGCAGATGTGCTGTGAAATTAATTTCCTCTGGTGTAACCGGAGACACTTTTATCACCGTCTCTGTTATGAAATTTCCATTTCACAGATGATAACCTATTATCACTTTATTCAAGGGAAACATGTTAATGGCCGGGAGGAAGACTGAATTATTCATATTTGCTCATTTCTATTCTACGCTGCTGCCCTGCTCTTTTCATGCACTGAGAGAGGGCTAATGTAAACATGACCAGAATCCTTGTAAATTGGCTTGTAGAGGAGGCTGTTAGCATAGTGCCTGGGGACTGATGCGGATGAGGATAACAGCTGATATCTGTAAAGTACAGCCTCTGCATGTAGTGTGTTTGTGAGGGATGAAACAAACACACTGAAATGAAGGAGGCTGAAATGTGTGTCAACAGTGTAACAGCGACGCTGGCGGCCTGTAATGGAAGCTAATTGGACCAGCAAGTTAAACACTCCATATGTCACAAGACTTACGTTTGTCCTCAGGAATTTGGGCCCAGGTGACCCAAAGAGATCAACCTCTATCTCAGGAACACATCACTTTAGCAGTTGGATTCTGTAAAGTTGGAAAACTGTATCTCAGCTCTTAAGCACAGTTTCATCAAGTTGTATTGAGATGGAAGTGTTTCCTACAACGGCATGGTGGTGAAAAGACTACTTATTTGTTTACCACACGCACTGTTGTTTGGCTCTATAAGTGCTTCAGTATGGCAGCACAGGAAAGGCTCATTCACAAATAATGAGCAGTGACGTCATGGCTTCATTCAGAACAGGCCTGACCCTTGCTGGACAGAGCAATTGTAGCGTTGATTGTTTTGCATTCAATTACACGGCACAGACATGACTATTGTTATTCAGCATGAGTTGCAAGTCATGTGATTATACTTTAGAATAGGGACTTTAGAAAACGTTTACATTTTCAGACTGTTTCTTTCCCAGAAGTATGATTATTTTATAGCAGTACTTGTAAAGTATAGTTTGGTAGAGTTTAGGAAAGCCATTTTGGTCCTGTTGATTACAATGGAATTCACTGTGTATATGCTTCATGCTTTATTTTCACTCACTGTCATATAATAAACTTCTGACGTTGTTAATATTGACAGTATATGAAAAATTCTGAATTATTACCTCTCTCAATAGTGTGGCGTTGAGACAATAGATTAAAAATTACTAACCTAAACATGGAATGCATAGAAATTCTACTGTATATTATGACACACATTTGAGTGAATAGGGGTCATTTCTGTTTCTCCTTTCAGAACTGACAGCTGGGTGAAATTGAACTGACAGTCCTGACAGGAAGCTCTCAAGCCAATACAAACCTCCTATGGGAATGAGCACAATGGAAATTTAGTTTGCATAATGACTCGCATATGTGCGTCATAAGTATTGATTTGTCAACGTAAATGGATATGTTTGTGCTTGACCGAAACCCAATTTTTTTGGGTTTGAAATGTATTATAATTGTAAACACTTTATCTTTTTTTAATCTTTCATCTCAAATTGGGGTTTAGCTAATAATTTAATGCTTCCTTTTGAATACATGAAAGAGGAGGCTATTGTTACTTATTCAGTGATCACTAGATGGCAGTATAGCCTGCTTAAATTGCATCTGCATATTCTCTCTGTCCTGAGCTAATCTCAATGCTTGGGAAAATCATTTCAGAATAAGTCTCCACTTTCATCTGACCTTTACCTCTGGAGGCAAAACATGTTTAGCCATATTAATTAATAACAATTTGATTATCTTGTGGATTACATTCATAATGGATAATATGATTAATCATATTCCTTATGTAATTCACAAAACTTTGTTTATATATGCAAATTATAAACTAAATATAAATGTATCTGATACTGTGTGCCTCTGAGATACACCCTCAACACACAACATAGCCTCAATTTATTCTACTAATTTATGAATTTCATTTAAATCTTTTAGCCAGAACGTGTTTAATAAAGTGTTTCACTGACCACAGTCCCTTTTTGAGGACCTCTCTATTATACTGCTACTTAACACAATCCATAGCAATTGCAGTGCTTATCAATATCAATTTAGTCATATTGATACAGATCAGACTCCCCACGGATCCGTTCTCCTGGCATCTGTCTGACATTGCAGGCTCCTCATCACACGCAGACCGCTCCCCACTCACACAACAAACACCGCAGCTCTTGACTTTGCCGTCGATACTGCGGACCGTCTTTGTGCAAGTATCGACAGTTATCAAAAAACGCCCTTGATGTAATTTCATGCTTGTCGACGTTCTCTGGCCATATGCTGAAGATCTGCTCGTAGCGATCCCCCACAGTGTAAGGCATTGGTACGAGGCCTTTATGTGAGCCCTAATAGCTCCTCGTGCTCTATATATAAACCTTGAATGGCCTGAGAACAGCAGACTAGTGTCCACTGGAGGCTGCCGTAGTGTGCCGATGCAGAGTATTGAGGGAATCCCACCCATGTCCCCAGTGTGATTCTGACGGCAGCATATGTCGAGGCTCGCCAGTCCGAGCTTTAAATGTCATAAGTGTCGGCATTTGCATTTTCAGAGCTGGCCACACAGGCCCAGTAAATGCAGGGCAGAGAAGAGGGCAGGATTGGTCCTGAGAGGGCACTTAATATCTATGGTCCTATATATTCTCTGATAACTTTCTTCTTTGTCATTGAGAATTACAGCTGTGAAGTTATTTCACTAAATATTATTATCAGACCTAAAGCCTAAATTTGGAGAGAATAAAAATCAAGCTATCTCTCACAGCAGGGGAAATACTTAATTAAGAAGGTTAGATGAGAAAGTAACATGTATTGGGTCATTATGTTTTTAACCCTCTTGTTATCATGAGGTATGTTATTGATTTAAAAATGCCCTATTATTTTTATAACTGAATTTTTAGATTTTTATTCTAACTTGACCATTCCTGGGTCATTTAGACCCAAAGGGGTCTAGTTGTAATCACTGTGGTGGGGTATTCTGACTCAGAGGGTAGCACAATAATCAAAATATTATTCATATCAAATAAAGTAAAAAGTGAAATATAAACAAACACATACTTAGACTACTGCCACCGTGGCAAGGGTTAGGAGGAAGAAAATGGATAAACAAAAAACACACACACAACAAAACAAATCAAATAAACAATCCGTACAGTAAATCAGATAACTTGATAGTCTCATTTGTGATGGTCGGCATGTTAATGGAGCTCTCCTTATGGAAAATGAATGAAAACATGTTTTGGATATTTTATTCAAATTGAAAATACCATTGGTTTCAGGCTGTTTACAAATACATGTTAAACCTTAATACAGTACATTCCCCTTTAGCCCAGAGTGTGTCAACTAGAAATGCTGAGTTTTGCAGAGGGTGATTTTTGTCTGCCCATGTCCTTTTGTTGCCTGAATTTAATCAGCCGTTTCCTCTCTTTTTCTCCCTATTCCCCTCCGCTACTGCTGATGACGGCCAGAAGCCCCTTAGCTGTTTTGTAAGCATGTGCACATCCTGATCTCTCATAATATTAGTTAAAATCAATGTGCTGCTTTTTTAATTATTGCTCATGGTACAAAGCGGGGAAGGCTCATTTAAGGGAGAATCGATACGTGAGAGCGATTGGTAGACGGTGGAGCTGTACATCAGACGGCTTGATGTGAAAATCATTGGTGCCTGTGCAGGGCTGTGATCATCCTGGTTAGCCCCCCAGCTGGCTGCAGGGCTTGGGTAATGGGTGAACCCTCCGTGAACCAGCATCCTTAGCCTCCATAACACCCCTCAGAGCGCGCAGCAACAACTCAATCCAGCCCGAAGATGCTATAGGCGGCCATAACACCATCATACACACAGGTAAAAATACAAGGCACAAAATTCAAGTGCATTGATTATGTGTGCCTGTGATATTTCTGCTTTTATTTGCCTTGCCTGTGCAACTTCTCAAGCCCATCCCTAGATACACTGATTCCTTTACGTGCGCTTCTATTATCTGGGCTATCTGTCCCCTGACCACAACAGGCCCTGATGGAGGCTTATGCGACTCTGCTCTGGAGGTTTTAAAGAGGTTAATAACTTGGGCCTGCGGACATTATTTAAGAGTGGCCAGAGGAAATGTAACGGCCCTGTTTCTGTTGCTTTAGTTTCACCTCTGAACCTTTTGGATCCTCGCCGCAGCTCACATGACAAATATGTCTTTATGTCTACCATGCACTTTACGTTCACAGTCTTTCTACTTGTCTTCACCACAACTGAAACTAGGACCAATCCAGAACCCCTTCATCATCGACTTGGGCCCCTCTAGCGCTAAACTGATACAAAAGACGTTAATCTGGGAAAGTGTAAACGGCAGCGTTTCACGGCTACTTACTGTTATTTGTCACCATTTCTGTCTTCAAAATGGCTCCATTTTGCACACAGATAAAAAGTTAAAGGCCCAAATAATTGTTTTCATCATTAGCCAGCTATAAGCATTCATCATGTACTTTGTATTTCCATTGGATGATTTATACAGGCTCTTTGGTGACCAATTGAAGACCAATATGAGGTTATCAATCCCTATAAGCACTGGTTCTCAGGTACAAACCAGAATTGAAGAGGTGGTTTGCACTTTCATTGTTTTTTAGTGGGAGTAAAAAGGTTTGGCTTTTCCAAAAAGTTTTATCAACTTCGTCATGGTTTGTCTATATGTATTGAGGAAATAGGAGCATTGTCATAAGAGATTAGCAATTTATATTTTATATATTTATATTTTTCCACACTTTCCTATATGTATAGTATGCTTAGTTACAACTAGAATTTCTCAAACATGTGCTCTGTTATGCTTTTACCCGAAATTATACTCCCTACAAAGATTTCTTGAAAATTTTGCAAACTAACTAATAAGCAAACTAAAACTGCAGATCAAAACTGCCTAGTTACCTCAGCCCCACTAGAAACCTTGCACACATTGAAAGCCACAATATTTCAATTACATTTTCATTGCACATATTGACATCAGCAAAAGCCTCTTAAATCAAATGCATGTGATTTGACAAGCAATCATTTCATAAAATGGTGTCCAATTACAAATGAGTATGCATGATACACTCTCTAAAACACTAATGTGATGGCCATAGCTCCTTTTTAGATTGCCATTATATATCTTGTGCATGATTCGCATGCTCACATACACAGCACTCACAGTCATTCACTCACCCTTAAGGGCCTGAGGTTTACTGCTGGCATCAATCATTGCTGCATAACGCCAGCTCATTTACTAATTAAAAATCTACCAAAAGAGTTCAATTGACTAAACTCTGTCATTCTGTTTAGACCAGCAAGAGCAACATCATGGTGTATGATGTAGTTTCAACTAAAGAAAGAGGCCTTTTTTATGTCAACAAAAAAACACAAGTTTACTTTAAAAATACATGTTTTAATGTTTTAGGTTTGTTATTTAACCTCAACACAACAATGTTTTGATCTTGGCAATTAATCTGAATTATTTATCTTATCTTAATTTCCGGACTATTTGTCGCTAAGAAAAAAACTAAAAAAGCTTATATAGCGGTGCAACTCATAGGTGTATTATTGATGTGGTAAAGAAGAGTTTATAGCAGGGGTCATCAACTTTATGTGTCAGAGGGGCAGAGTTTTACCAGACAGTCTCCTTGGGGGCAGGACCCCCAAAGAGAAAATTAAATCCGATTCAGATTAATTTATTTGCCATTTGTGTGTGCACAAGACAAGTACATAAATAAAACAAGGTTAGAAGTACAGAAATAAAAAAAAACACAACAGGAAACAATTGGCACTGTGAAATCGATAAACTAAAACAGTTTGAACACAAAGACAAGATCCTTTAAAGTGCCTTGTTTGAACTGATAACAGTTTGTGGAAAGAAGCTGTTAAAAAGAGATGTCCTGCATCTCAACGAACGATATAGATAGATTGACAGATAGATACAGTAGATACTTTATTGACAGGTCACAGCAGCAGAGATGGTCTAGCCTTTCGGTGGAGCAGGACAGGTCACAGCAGCAGAGGTGGAGTAGCTGTTTGGTTCAGACCATGTTCTCTGCTCTGGTCCAAAGTAAAATGCTTTGTTAGCATTTTTCTAAAAGTTAGCCTTCCTCCAGTCAAATCTCAGACCAGGAATCCTCTCCGCTCCTGTCTGGACCAGTGTAAAATAGTGCTGTCCAACGATTAAAATATTTAATCGCAATTAATCGCATGAATTTCATAGTTAACTCGCAATTAATCGCAAATTAGTCACACATTTGTGTGGGTGTGTGTGTGTATGTGTGGGTATAGACCATAGACTGTATAGAAACATCATGGTGTCATTATGATGATGATAAACAATCTGTAAATATTTTGTAAATTTGTTCATGTAAATACTCTATGCTGTTTCTCTGTTTACTTTCGGTATATCTATGACTGTATACTGTTTGCTTGTATTGCCTTTTTTATTAACCCCTCCCCCCCATCTCCCACTTCATGTCCCCCCCCCCCTCCTATGCAGTGTTGTGCCAGTTCACAGCTTTTCTGAACTAGTTCAAGTTCAGTTCATACATGCTCAAAGTGAACAGAACACGTTCAAAGTTCACATTTTTAATTCTGAACTAGTTCAAAGTTCAGTTCATTTTACTTTTTTTTTGTGAGATAAATACATTTTTTTCACACTATGAGCTATATATATATATATATATATATCTCCTGTACACCCACAGGAGGAAAGCCTTTTGACTACAAAACAGACAAGATTTAAATGGTTTTCAATGGGAGCAAAACGGAGTTGCTCCATCTCTGCTCATAAACTACAGACAGTAATGCGCTGCAGTGCGTGTGTCTATACTTTATGTCAAATGTAAACGGTGTAAACTTTGTCGCTAACTCACCCTGTGTTTTCATCACGACTCGGGCACATGTGAAAAGCACCAGCTCACAGCGCCGCACCACAACACAGAGTCGTGGTGCGTTCACAGACGGTGGAAACCGTAGGAATTTTTAGATTTCAGCGGAAAAAGTGCGAGAATACAGGAGGGAAGAACTTTCTCTTTTTGCGTTTCAAAAGAGAAAACAGATTCCAACGTTCATAGTGATGTCTGCCGTTCATGACACATAAAATGAACTAATTCACGTTCAAGTTCTTTTTTTTAAAATGTGTTGCGTTCAGTTCAATGTTCACGAAAAAATGAGCGTGTTCAATGAACGCGTTCTTTTGAACTTGTTCACGCACAACACTTCTCCTATGTGCCCTTCTGGGTTTCATCTTTGGCCCCCTGTATCTCCAACTACATATTGTTTGTAATCTCTTGTCTACAATGTATCTGAATTAGTCCTTTTCTTTGTTTCTATTTTTTTTCTGTATATGTGTTTATCTGCAATAAAAAGTAAAAAAAAAAAAACAAAATTAATTGCGCGATAAAAAAAATGACGCCGTTAACTCTTTCAGTGCCAGACATTTTCAGAACATCACTCCTCCAGTGCCAGCCGTTTTGCTGATTTTCACCGACTTTTAAAGACCCATAGAATATGTTCTGCTATGACTAGCTTAAATCTGAGACCATATTCTGAAAGATTGAACCCTCTAGTTTACTCAGAAAAAATAAGTGTGTTTCTATCGGCTTTAGTTCTTCTGTAATCACCATTGGAGTAAGGTAAACTTTTCACAGAAATCATCAGTTTCCGACATAAAGCTGAGAAAATGAGGTGTTTGTGAAAATAAGCAAACAATGCAGAAAAGTGACTTTGAAAAGTTTTTTTTTACTTTAGTCATTTCTCACACAACAGAACATTCTTCCCATGTATAAAATAAGGGAAATGACTCAAAATAAAGTGCTTTTGATAGCAAAATAATACTCAGAACACAGAATAATACTCAACACAGAATAAGAAATGTACAAACATAAATTACAAACAAATAACATATATACATAAAGTGCTGATTGGCTGAGAGTGTGCGTGTGTGCGTGCGTGCGTGCATGTGTGCGTGCATGTGTCTCTGTCTATATAGTGTAATCTTGTTGTGTATGATATTTTGTGAAGCACTCTCCTTTGTGTAAGGGGACACCACATGCCTTGCACCACATCCTGGTCTCACTGCGCAGGCCTTTGCGCATGCAGACCCTGCATCTCCTCGAGGGTCTGGTCTTCGAGCCGGAGGACAGCAGGTACTCCACTTTGTGCCTGGCACCCTCATCGAGCCTGCTCTCTGGATCAGTGTTATATGGAGTCCTGGGGTTTCGTGGTGCTCCTTCCTCCACACATGCAACGATCGACTCGTTCTCCTCGTTGTGGTCCTCCTCGTCCTCCTTGTCCTCAATGTCCTCGATGTCCTCGATGTCCTCCTCGTCCTCCTCGTCCTCCTCGTCCTCGATGTCCTCCTCGTCCTCATCCTGGACCTTCAATGTCCAGGACCTCATGACCCCCTGCATGAATTCCAAGAGGGTTTTGTATTCCCGGTTCCCGTTCCTGGCTCTGTAGAGAGTGTAGGCATTGTACATTGCGATTTGGAACAGGTAAGCTACAAATTTTTTGGTCCAGTTCAGAGACTTCCGGACGAACGGGTAATATTTTATGTTCTGATCCAATCGATCCACGCCATTCATGGAGGAGTTATAGGCATCGACACACTCCGGTTTTAGGACAGACACCTTCTCCCTCTGTCCTCGCTGCCAAACGTCGACACTCGTCATATTGTCATGGTGACATGTTGTCAACATCTTGACAATCCGTTTGTCCCGCCACGCCAGAACCATGACCTTCCCATTGTTCACCGCGACTCTCCCCCCCCACACTCAGCTCAGTCTTGGTCACGTCCCTAATGCTCTCAGGCTCTCCCCGGTTCTTCCTTAGCGTCCCACACACATTTGTTTTTACTGCCATCAACTGCTCAGACAATGCCACAGAATTGTAATAGTTGTCCATAAACAGAGTGTGGCCGGCACCTGGGAGACGGTCAAGGAGAGAAAAAACAATGTCAGGGATCGTGCGGGGGTCACCAACATAGGGCTGCAGGTTAAAGCAGTAGCCGGTGGCAGAGTCGCAGAGCACATAGGACTTTATTCCATACTTTATGGGCTTCTGTGGGTTGTAGACCTTGAAGGCCAGCCGTCCTCTCCAGAGCAACATCCCCTCATCTATGCAAATATTCTGCCCGGGTTGGAACATTACCTTGAATTTATTGATCAGGTAGTCGTAGACTGGGCGAACCTTGTATAACCTGTCAGTTACATCAATTGCAGAGTTGTCATTGTAATGGAGGAACCTCCATATGAGTTGGAACCGGTTCCTGGACATTATTTTAGTGAAGAACGGGGTCACAAACATCTCATCCACGTTCCAATACATTGCCAGGGTTGGCTTGTGGATAACACCAGTGAGGAAAGATAATGCAAAGAACTTTTTTATCTCTGGAATGGTCACTGGTCTCCATGCATGCTTTCTGCTGTGTTGCGGAATCTCTGGGTTTGCCAGGAAATGCTGTTGAGCATAGAGGTTGGTCTGCTCTGTGATGTGCTGGAGCAGCTCGTCCGTGAGGAACAGCTCCAGGAAGTCAGCAGGCGAGGTGGACTCCAGCTCTGCTGCCGCGTTCAGGGGACCAGGCGTTGCAGTGAAGGGGAACACAGTGGGTTTCCATCCGGATTTCCGCCAGGTGCCGCCTTTACCCTTTGCAACTGTAATAAATTATGGAAATGTATACAATAAATAGGAATCAAATAGAGCTCGTTTTATTGTTTTGATGTGATGTAGAGAAAGATATTCCTACCTCTTTTCTTCACACCTGTATTTGCAGCACTCACGCTGGCAGCGCCTCTGCTCAATGTAGCGCCTGTATAGAATTGTACAATAACTCATCTATCCATATACACACATATCCAAATACATATACATCTACAGACGCACATATCCAAAGACACACAGACACACATGCACAGAGACACACGCACAGAGACACACGCACACACACACTACACACTACATACATATTATACACATACATATACACACACATGCATATATACATACATATATGAGTATTTTATTTACCTGTAGGCCTCCTTTTACCAGCATTAGTACTCCTGGATTGGCCCAGCACTCTGCTTACTAGAAATACACACAAATACAATCATGAGAATTATACAAGAATACTTTTATTTCATTGCTAAATGCATATGTATAATGTATGCATTACCTGCTCTGCCGGTTGCTCTGGGGGAATCGGGGGATGAGTCACTGCTGTTTGGGTCAGCTTCAGGTTCCCATAGCTCTGAAGAGCCTGTATCCGACGAGGAACTTTCTCTGGACCGACGTGGACCACTGGAACTGCGTGCGGCGGCTCTGGAGCGACGTGCGTGGCAAGGACTCCCGCCAACGGCCAGATGTTTAGACTTAGCTTTAGCCGTAGCCTCAGGCTTTTTGCCAACTGAAGGCCGAGGCAGATCACCTCCACCTTCCTCATGGCCATCACCCACCGACCTTCTGATGGTACCACCAGCACCAAACGCCTCCTCCATCGTTAGCTGCCGCTTTCTGCTCATATTCGCTCTCCCGATTACTCTCTTGTGCTCACTCTAACCAACCTACTCCCACAATGAGATCTGGGCTTCCGGTTCCTTTTATGCCTGATCGAAGAGCTAAAGGAGGCTACTGACATCTGCTGGCCGAATAAAATACTGTCAAACAGTCCCGATCAGAGATATGTGATAGAATGGATGCGTCTGGATCTGAATACACCAAAACACTTCAATTGCATAAAATGCGTCAATGGCACACAAGCATAGATCTTGAATTGACGTAATATGCGTCATTGGCACTGTAAAGGCGCGTTCAGACCAAAAGCTTCAAAAAGCTTTTGACGCGCTTCAACTGACGCCGGGATAGTTTTGTCATTTTGGTGCTTGAAGCTTTTGACGCGAGTGACGCGCCTGACGCCGGTGGGAGGAGCTTCTCTGTTGTCTGTAGTCAGGACAGCGGTGGATTTTTCAATGAGCAGCGAGCCTTTATTTGTTATATAAAGCAAAATAACGTTGTTGTAGGGCTTCAACAAAACATGCGCTGGGTTCACCACAGACTTGAGAGGCTGCAGTGTTTGCAGAGTTCCGTCATTTACTCCAGGAGCTGCGTACGGAGGAGTTTCGCTTTCAGCGGTACTTCCGCATGTCACTCGCCCAGTCTGAGTTCTCAAACCCCGGAGCTCGCCTCTCCCCGGCTCTCCCTGCCTCTCGCCGGCTCTCGCTCGCCTCTCCCCGCCTCGCTCTCGCCTCTCCCTGCCTCTCCCCGGCTCTCGCCCGCTCGGAGCTGCCTTGCTCTGAGCCAGACTCATCGTCAGCCTGTTCTTATTTTAAATAAACTACGTTTACTACACAGCATGTATACAATGATTTTTGTTACTCAGAATGTTACTACTCATACAAATAATATTACTAATAACAATAATGACAATAAAACAGCAGTAGTAGATACATGACTTCTCTCCATGACAGAGACAGACCCTCTGCTGCTGCTGCTCCTCGTCTCTCCTGATTGGTTGAAGCCCGCGTCAAAGCTTCAAAAGCTCAGCTTTGCTCAGCTTCGGCGTCAAAGGGATTGTTGTGATACGCGAGCGTTTCGCGCGTCAAAAGCTTCAAGTGAGCGCGTAGTACGCGCGACTCTTGAAGCTTTTGACGCGCGTCAAGTGACGCCGGGGCTCTCGGCTTCACCTGACGCGCTTCACCATTCACTTTCAATGGAAACCTGACGCTTTTGACGCCGAAGTTAAGTCCGGTGTGAACGCCCCTAAAGAGTTAATATTGATTTGCGTTAACGCGTTAACGCGTTAATAACGCGATATTTTGGACAGCACTAGTGTAAAACCATGAACACTATACTGCAGCAACATCTCAGGCAGAAAAAAGCAAGAAAATAACAATTGTAAAGCACAAAAACAACAACTGTTTCAGAGCTACAGAGCTGTTGCCGTCTCCAGTGCATTCAAAAGTAAAAAAGTAAACCGATATCTTCTGCAGGAGGGAATAAGCTGGAACATGGCTTTTCCAGGGGCCAGAAGAGTCATTGATTATTATTTTCTAAAAGAAAAGTAACCAAAACTTTGCATATATATATATATATAATATATATATATATATATATATATATATATATATACATATATATATGTATATATATATATATATATATATATATATATATGTATATATATATATACATATATATATATATATATATATATATATATGTGTATATATATATATATATATATATATATATATATATATATATATATACATATAATATATATATATACATATAATATATATATATACATATAATATATATATATATATATCAATAGCAGACGTTGAGGTCAGTTACAAGTATCTCGGTATACCACAGGCAAATGGCAACCTCGAACAGGTGACGAGGAAAGCGGCAACTGCCAAAAACCTCCAGCAAGTAAGGCAGGTCCTAAGAAGCCGGTGTTCTGTCGAGTTGGTCTGCCCGTCGAGATGATCTGCTTCAGCTGTTAATGATGTAATGCAAACCTGCGCTTACGCGTCTCACGGCAGCCGAAGCAAACCAAGATGGCAGACATTAAGTCAGCGAATGGCTTTAAAAGTTAAAATACGAACGAATTAAGACACAAATGTCACTTTTAATGCGAGATGTTGATGGTTCCGCGTTGTGAAATGTGTGTTTTAAGAGTAAGAGTTTTGTGTAAAGTTTGTTTTAAAGACCTTATGACGGGTTTGATTTATTTAGAAATACATTTTTAATACCATTTTATATTAGAAGAGAACTACTAAAGGTTTCAAAATCAGTTGTTGGTTTTTTTGTCTGATCCCCCCAAATCGAAATAACCCCATAGCAACGCCCTTAGAGACGAAAAAACTTCACAGCCCTTGGTGACGTCAGAACGGGTACGTTTCAACGCTGTAAGTTGTTTACAATTTGGTATTCGTTCTTTTTTCGCGGATATTCAAGATGACAAGGCCGTGTACAGCGAGTCTCAGATAACTACTAGAATGTAACTTTTCATTGTTACTGAGATAGTCCAGTGGTTGTGTCGATAGACTGCCAATCCAGATACTGGGGTTCAAATCCCACCTCGGACACTTTTTCACACTCAAAACGGGCAATTTATGTGTAGTGAGCAATTGTCACCTGTAGAGTGCAGTATTGTGTTGGGCATCAGTGGAGAGAAGAGAGAAAAGGCAGTCCTGTGGCATAGATTCATGGTTTTCAATGCATGGGCGTAACCCGCTGAGACGTAACCCGCTATGACGTCACACACAGGTTAGAACTTAAATTCATGAAAAACACGTTCTTTTTATAAAATATAGGATTTTTTTTGCCGGAATCTCTTTCAAATTGACATTGTCATGCAATTTTGATATCCACTATTTTTTTTTTTTAAACCCGTCATAAGGTCTTTAAGCAGTCCACTGCTCCTTTGAAACCACACTGCTGCTGTGTGATAGCAGTCCCTGAGTTGACTGCTGCATACGTCATTTTACTGAGGTAGGCCCATTACGCGTCCTGTGACTGGTCTGTCGGGTTGATAATGGAAATAATAAATTAAATTTAATGCATGTATCATACTCTATTCAATATGATTAACAATAGTGTGTTCAAACGAAATATTTAATTAGATCGAGTTTTTTCCCCATTCTGGCGGGTTTCTGCGCATGCGCAAATCAGATTTGGGTACACCAGCAGTGTAGTTTCACAGGAGCAGTGGTCTGCTTAAAACAAACTTTACTCTTAAAACACACATCACAACATAGAAGCATCAACATCTTGCCTCAAAGTGCATTAAAAGTGACATTCGTGTCTTAATTTGTTCGTATTTGAACTTTTAAAGCAATTCGCGGACTACATGTCCGCCATCTTGGTTTGCTTCAGCTGCCGTGAGACGCGCAGCGCAGGTTTGCATTACATCATTAACAGCTGAGGCAGATCATCTCGACGGGCAGACCAACTCGACAGAACACCGGCTCAATGGAAAGAACAAGGCCCGGGCAATTAACAGCTACGCCCTGCCAGTGATCAGATACCCTGCAGGAATAATCAGGTGGCCAAAGGATCTCTTCCTTTGGCCCCTTCAGTGTTAAAACTCGAAAAGCTCCTTACCATGCATGGCGGGTTCCATCCCAAATCCAGCACCCTGAGACTGTACGTAAGCCGTAAAGAAGGAGGCCGAGGACTAGTGAGTGTGAGAGCCACTGTCCAGGACGAAACATCCAAACTCCATAACTACATCATGGAGAAGGCCAAAACGGATGACGTACTCAGTGAACGTCTCAGGCAGTGGCGAGATGAGGAGGTGCTGGAGGAGAGCCCATCATGGGAGAACAAGCCCCTACACGGCATGTACCACCGGAGCATAACAGAAGTGGCTGATCTCAAGAAGTCCTACCAATGGCTTGAAAGGGCTGGCCTACAGGACAGCAGAGGCACTCATCATGGCTGCACAGGAGCAGGCCCTGAGCACCAGAGCGATAGAGGCCCAGATATACCACACCAGACAAGACCCAAGGTGTCGGTTGTGCAAAGAGGCACCTGAGACGATCCAACACATAACTGCAGGGTGCAAGATGCTGGCAGGCAAGGCCTACATGGAACGCCATAACCAAGTGACTGGCATAGTGTACAGAAACATCTGTGCAGAGTATGGGCTGGAAACTCATACTCTGCACTCTAAGTGGGAAACTCCTCCAAAGGTGGTGGAAAATGAGCGTGCGAAGATCCTGTGGGACTTCCAGATACAGACCGACCGAATGGTAATGGTGAACCAACCTGACATCGTGGTGGTAGACAAAGGGCAGAGGACAGCCGTGGTGAAGGACGTGGCAATTCCAAGCGATGGTAACATCCGGAAAAAGGAACATGAAAAGCTTGAGAAATACCAAGGTCTCAGAGAGGAGCTGGAGAGGGCCTGGAGGGTAAAGGTGACAGTAGTGCCCGTGGTGATTGGTGCACTCGGGGTAGTGACCCCGAAGCTAGAGGAGTGGTTACAGTGGATCCCTGGAACAACCTCGGACATCTCGGTCCAGAAATGTGCAGTGCTAGGAACAGCAAAGATACTACGCAGAACCCTCAAGCCCCCAGGCCTCTGGTAGAGGACCCGAGCTTAGAGGGATAACCGCCCACGGAGGGCGAAAGGTGAGATTTTTTTTTCTTTTCTTATGTATATATATATATATATAAAAAAGAAACAAAAACACACACACCTTTCGCCCTCCACGGGCAGTTATCTCTCTCTAAGCTCGGGTCCTCTACCAGAGACCTGGGAGCTTGAGGGTTCTGCGCAGTATCTTTGCTGTTCCTAGCACTGCACATTTCTGGACCGAGATTTCCACGGTTGTTCCAGGGATCCGCTGTAACCACTCCTCCAGCTTCGGGGTCACTGCCCCGAGTGCACCAATCACAACGGGCACTATTTTACCCTCTAGGCCCTTTCTAGCT